GCTGGGCGAAGTCGTGTGAGAGGGGCTCTGGGGCTCGGGGCGCTCCCGTGTTCCAGGTGCGTGGGGGAGAGCCGCCCGCCCCGCGTCGCCCTACGAGCCGCCCCTCCGGCGCCCGCGGGGCTGTGACAGCCGTGCTGCGCCCAGCCGCGCCGATCGCTGAAGCAGCCTTGGGGCGGTTCTTTCCCCCTCCACCCGCAGCCTCAGCCGTGAAAGGGAAGCTTTGCTCCCCGCTCCGCACCGAGCCGGCAGCCGCTGTGGGGAGAACGACTTGCCGAGGTGGAAGCCTGGGTGCTGTGTCGTGCGCCTTCGGGCCGGCGACGCTTTAGTTACGCAGGGAGCCCGTTGTTCCTCCGGGCTGCTGAACGATAAAGCTGATTTCCTTTCCTTTTTCCAAAAGGAAGAAGTTTTGGTATGACAGCCCTGCCCTGGGATCTAAAATGGTAAGTGCACGCTTTTAAGGTGCCGTGTTTATCTGTGCCAGGAGGAACAAGCTTCTGCTTCTGCCATTGTGTCTAACTTTGCAAAAAGTATTTTCGGGTGGAGCAATAGCAGAATTTTGTGAGTGGAGACGAGCGCTCCAGTTTCACTGTGACATGCCGGGACTGCTGTCGAGAGGAGCCGTTCGGCTCTTCTGTGCTGGTCTGTCACCTGCGCGAGCACCAGCACTCTCTTGCACGCTCTTGAGCCTGTAGCAGAGAACTGATCCAGATTAAAACTTCTGTATACCACCTTAGCTTTACTTTTACAGAAAACAGATTTTCACGTTTGTTTTTCAAACAAGCAATGCTTTTCAGTTAATACATGCTGTATTTCAAAAAACTGATTTATTGAGCTGTATAACTTGCTACAAAATACTGAAGAAACTGAGAAACCTTGACTGTAATACACGAGGGTCAGAGATTTGGCGAACAGAAATATTCTTTATTGAAACACCTGATGCATAAGATCTATATAAAGCAATCACAGCTCCAGTAATGGCATTCTGAGAGCATACTTAGTAGAGTGCGCAAAACTGTGTATAATTGCCTAATACAAGTTTGTAGCTACTGATTAACGTGTCGGGGGTTTTTTGTTTTTAAAGATGTATAAACCAACCAAGTTGGCCTCTGTAATGAAAGATGACCACACAAAAACTAGAAAAGAAGATAACATACGCTGCAGAGTCTTGAACGGTCTTATTCATAAAGCTGTGGCGGAGATGATGGCTACCTGTGAAGTCAATCAAGAACTTTATGATCTCAAGCTGGATATCTGCAAGGCAAGTGCCCAAGCTGCAGTTTGTGTTGAGCCACTCTGACTGCGCCTTGAGGTCAGCATGGCGCGCCAAAGGAGCTTCCCCGGGTGTTGTGATGTGTGCAGGAGGAGTTTTGCTGCCTTGCTTCTGGTGTGGCGCAGCACAGCAAGATGAGGCTCTGGATTCATCTTGCACGCTAGCAGAACTTTGCCACGGTTGTACCTAGCTTAGTAGACCTTTGCCACTATAATGCAAATGCAGCTTAGGCCAACTAAATGGTGATTCTCCCGGTATGACTTTTTTTTTCTGTTACTCAGACATGTACTGCTTGCCTTGCCCTTTCAGAAGGAGGAGCCTGGTTTTACCAACATAACTGTATCTTTCTGGGAGTCTGGTCTTCGTGCAGCTGCGTGAGAGTTGATACCTCCTTGTATCCCTCACCAGCATCATTACACAGGCAGAAGACCTAAATGGGGCATGAGCTTAGTTCAAAAAAAAAAAGGCAAGCCTAAGAAAATGCCATTGGCAAGCAAGGTTCCAGAAAGAATTGGAATTTGTACCTAAATTGTAGCTGGTGTTGTCATAATTCATGAGTTTGAAAGGGATGTTAAAGCTCTGATTCAGGAACTAAGTCTCCACATTCTTGTTTGTTGTCTGTAGTTTTTTCTTCTACATCTGCTGTTTTGTTAAGATTAAATGTGTTTGGCTTAAAAAGCTTGATGGACTCAGCTTTGTTAGTTAGAAGCATGGAAAAAAAACCAGCTGCATCTGTGGCAAGGGGTTTGTCATTTATGATTGAAACGTGATTTTGCCAGCTGAATTCATTCTGTCTTCAGGCAAGTGACTAAAATTACATGGGCAAGATGAATCTTTTGGCTCTATATGTGCAGTATCCTTCATCTAGTATTCCTCTCTCTCTAGGGCTTTGAGGATTGCTTGTCTAACTCGGATGGCATATCTGCACATAAAAATACTGGCTGATGTAGGCAAGCCACAGCACTTTCAGGAGGCATTGCTGTAAATAAAACAACTTATGAGAGAGGGAAAGAAACAGCCTTCTTCCAAATATAGTACAGATTTTATTATAGCTGCATAGTGCTTAGCGTTTGTGCTGCACTGGGATGTGGCTGAGACTCAGTCCTGATTTACTCTTGAGCTGATTCTGGTCCAATATTGTTACTTCTGTTATCAAAAGAAATCTTCTAGCAGGCTTTCTACAATCCATCAGAATTTGTTTTTGTCAGTATGAGTTAAAACTACATCATAGTAATACAAATAAGAATCATGCTTCAGGCTTGATACATCAAACTTTTATCCACTTGATAACAATACTCATGTGATGATGAAGAAATGGCTTGTGTTAGGTAGGGTTGTTTATGTGCTTACATTAAACTCAGTGTGGGAGATAGGGAGGGTTGATCCTGCAGTAGAAATGGCCGGTTAATGATCACGGTGGGTTTTTTTAATGAGTAATGGGTTTCCTGAGGCAGGAAGTATTTGGTGGTGGAAAAAATCAATATCTACTTTGGTTTTTGGGGACGGTCCATTCTGCTTTAGGAAAGAGTAGCACTGTCAACAGCAGACTGTGATGCAGTTTTCATTCCTGGGAGTACTCTGATGGAGTTGTCTTTTCCTGCTAATGTCTGTAGACACCTGTTTGTTTGAAGAGTTGGTTTCTGGACTAGATGACCTCTGAACTGTGCCTTCTAATGGGTAGTTTATGCCTTCTCCTCCCTCTTCCTTGGCTCCTTCCTTCGGTTGACACAGGTTATAAGAAGTTTGCTGAGTGTACTCCCATAGTGAGAACCTGTTCTGTAAGACGCTGCTAGACGCAATGAATGACAGTTATAGAAATCTTTCAGAATCCAATTTGTGTTGCAGAAGTTTATTCTTCAGGAAGATTGTCAGTCTATCTCATGTGCTTTGGCCCCTGCACACCCTGTGTTTTCAATTGCATGCATGACAGCTATGAATATTCTCTGTTAGTGAGCTAACGCACTGGAGGTTCCCAGCAGGCTCTAGAGCTGTCTTAACATTGCAGGGGCATGGAGGGCATCCTCTTTTCTGCCAATATCAAAACAAAACTCTGAGTGACAACAAACCAGGCAGTGTCACAAGTCACTTTAGCGGAAACTTACACTTTCAACTGTATTCCAAAACAGCATGCCATAAATTGTCATTCTGGACTATTTGTGGTGGTAGCACCATCACATTGACTAAATGTGGCACTGTCAGTTCCATAGAGGTGTTGACAAAGTTCTCCTCCATTTAATTTCAGTTGAAGGGGAGATTAGGCAGTGACTTGCCTAAATAAAAAAAGTCCTTTCAGGTACTGAATGTAAATCTTACTTGGTGTTAAACTCTACCTCTATAAAGGCACCATGTAATTTTGGTTCTTAAGAGCAGAGATGGAAGAAGAGATTCTCCTAAGAATTTACATATCCAGTCTGGGTCACTGTATGCTTATTCATGAATTAGAGACTTTGTTGTATATGAAGAGTGTGTATAAATATAATTTTAAAGAAACATTTGTCTTTTTGCAGGTGTCCCTGGCATCAAACTTTTCAGCGTGTCGTGTGTACTGGAATCCTGCTGCTACTATGGAGAAAGAAAGTTATGTTGAAAGTGTACTGCGGAAGAGTGCTCCACGCATACGGTACTGCTCTGGGATAAACAGTTAGACCACTTCATAATTCATAGCTACGTACTAGTACCATTTCTTAAGTATTTCTAACAGTCTATATCTGACCTGTTAGGATGCTTTAGGTTTTTAGATATTTGGAGTCGGAGCATCTCCTGTGATGAGCCTCACAGGGAAGGATGACCATGTCAGACCAGCTGTGTGTTCTCCTGCTGGAGCACAGCTGGCTTACTCGGCTTCTGTGCTTTCCTAGGATTGGAGTGGGCTCAGCAGAAAGAAGGAGGAATTTGGATGAAGTTTCACTTCATTGTACTAGTGATGGTGGGCTGGACGTGCTGTGCATGGCAGCAGGCCGGAATACAATGCTGCACAAGTGGAGTGGCCATTACAACAAGGATCTCCTTACAGATTCACTGGGCAATTCTGATCGCTAGGGACAATTTGGGCCTCCAGGAGGGACGACTGATATTACAGAAATTTTTCACAATACTGATACCAAAAAATAAATGTCGGGATGCTACCGTGTATTGTGATGCTTTTACCCATTTTTGGCAGAGAGTCCAGTGAGTTTTCAGGATATCATAGAGATTTTTGTCTCTCCCCCTTTCCTGGGCTTAACCTCTGCTACCCAGCCGGTCTGTTGGAGGATCAGGACTTCACCCCATGGGGAAGGTGGCATTGAAGCATACTTGTAGAGCTGTTTCCTTTCCCCCTGTTTCCCTAGGCTGTGTAATTCCTGCTCCAGCACAATGCTCTCTTCTACTCCCAACAGCTTCCACTCTTTGAGAAGGAATGCTGCTGGCTAGGAAGAAGATGAGGGGAGCCTGTCACTCCTTCCTGCAGCTAGCATGTAGGACTAGTTGTCTTGCCCTGCTGTGAGGGCTCTGTCCCCCACCGCTGTCACTCCTACAGTGGGGAGAAGGAAGCCAGATGAAGTGGGGAAAGACCTGCACTAGCCTGTGCATACAGGAGACAAATCTAATACCATCGATACTCAGTGGGATCTGCAGCTGGTAGTTTTTGTATGTTACACATTCAGAGTTGGGATTCTGCAGTGATGTCTTGCTTAGCACTAACCTGAATGGATACCCATCAAACTGTAACTTTTGCAAACCATATCCTTGAATTTGCAGGACTGCTGGAATTAATTTAACATATTTTATCTGTCCTGAAGGTGCTATACTGTTACTCATACTGGTGAATGCTGTATTTTTGCCAGGTATCTTCTGATGAGTCAGCAGATTCTAGGAAATGTACCTCCAATAGTATTTGTAAAAGACAAAGAAGCTGCAGCTGTAAAAGAGGTAATTGTAATCTTTGACTCAATGTACAAATATAATGATAGGCAAACATGGTGACTTAGCATACCATAATGCTTAGGAATACGGAGAGAGCTGATCATTCAATTGCTCTACCAATCTACATTAAAAATCAGTCTTTGTCTATACCCTTTCCTCTTCATATTCCAAAGCATTTTAGCAAAGAATCGTGAGTAAGACTGATGCTTATATACAATGTAAAAGAATCATTGCAGCTCATGAACTTTTTTTGATGCTGCTATTAAAATTTCTGAAGTTTTCAGAGAAGCTTGTAGGCCAGATCATTAAGTCAATAAAGAAATCCTAAAAAATGAAATTACAGTTTTAAGGAATAATACAGGGTAGGCAGTTGTCTGTTGCCTGGTATACATGGTTATAGAAATGAGGTCTGAGGAGCTGTCTTCCACATTTTAAATGTTATGTGTTTTTAAAATGCCATTGAATCTAATCAGTGATTTTTATTTTTTTTTACCCCAAGCTTTTTCCATCTGTGAATTGCTAGTGTGTTTCTAGAGAAGTGCAGATCTTTGCATAGAGGATGTAAGCTCACTCATACTGCTTTTTTTTTTCACTTTAAAAATTATCTTTACTATTTCACATTTTCTGTCAAGGTGTTGATAGTTTTAACTAGTTGAAATATTGCTAGAATAATGATGTTTTCTAGGAATTTGCTGTCATTAGGACTGTGAAGTGAGATCTCTTAAATAGTGAGATTTCCAGAAGATGACACCAATGTGTAGAATTTAATGAAAAACATCTCTCAAGCTGTTGATGTGAATGGAAAGAACATTAGTTGAAAAGAGCACGTTCGCATTTCTGTGCCTTGAAATGCCTTATTCTTAGATGTGCTACTATTACAGCCAATTGCTGTTAGTGACTTATGGGCTCATGGGGTGTGTATTAGCAGAACTGGAAGGGGTAATACAAACTTCAGACTCTCTAGAAATGCAGTGAATTGCTTGAACTTTCTGTGGTCAGAAAAATTCCGAGTTTCATGCCAATATACTGATCCACAGCGCAAATGCTTTTCACCTGCATTAGCATAAAAAAAAAAGCAGAAGAATAGAAATGAACTAAACACTTCTGAAGGCTTTTTATATTTGTTATTATGCTCCACCTAATCAACACAAAAAATTCTACACAAGTAACAAGTGATTATTGAAGCACTTTGTCGTTACTATTACTCTGTCATTAACATACCTAGATGGAGCTACAAATATCTACTCCTGCAGGTCCTGTCTTTCAGGTCTGTTATTGTGGAACCTGTTCCATTAATCCCTGTTTCTCAAACTTTGTTAAATGACCACCAACTCTTTTTGAAGAAGAAAACCCCTGGACTACCTTACCTTACCTTACGTTCAGTGCGTAGGGACCAAGAACATTCCATTAATCCCTGTTCCATTAATCCCTGTTTCTCAAACTTTGTTAAATGACCACCAACTCTTTTTGAAGAAGAAAACCCCTGGACTACCTTACCTTACCTTACGTTCAGTGCGTAGGGACCAAGAACGTTAACTACACAAGACAAGTAAAAATCCTCCTTACATAGCTTCTGTCAGTGAATGGCACTGGGAAGCACTTAGGTGGGTCATCTTTTCACACTTTCCAGATCATCAGATTTATGTAATCCACAGATTCGAATAACAGGGCTTGAAATAACATAGCTGAACCTGATTTTTAAGTATTGGAAGACAGGGAAGGACCATCCAATTCAACTCCTAGAAAAAATACGTTGAATTAGAAGGGAAGTAATGTAAAGAAAAGTAGGAATAAAAATTTCAAAAGAGATGTAGAATTTTCACAATTAGGTACAGTCTATAAGCACTGGATATACAAGATTTGTAGCATTTACTGGTTAGGTGCCATGTTAAAAGGGAGTTGGGAACTCAATATTTACATGCAATAGAAATACAAACTTGCAGAAAGGGGGAAGAAGGGAAACAAATCCCAGTGTAAGGATGTTATGAAAAAGGATTTGCAAGACTGAAGTAAGACCAAATAAAACAAAAATTATATATGTCACACAATCCCTAGCCAGCTGTTCAGAATGTACAGAAGGCAAAAAACTTTGTAGGAATCCCTGGATCAGTTATGCTATTTGACACAAACTTCCTAGGCAAGAATAAGCAGTTCCATGTAAATGGAGGAAAAGGCTATTTTGAAATGGTTTTGCTAAATATTCCAAATGTAGAAAATAAAATATTTGCTGTTTGATACTTGTCTGTTTCTTGTGTTGGTGTGAACAAAGTGAATTTAATACAGGGCCTTTAATATGTATTGTCTTTATGTGTTTACAGATTGAGGAATTATTGTCAGTTGCTGATTTTGGACCTCCAGAAGAAGTAGAAACATTATCTCAAAATGATTCTAGGTGGGTTTTTTGAATCAGAATTGTACAAATGTCTGTTTTCATCTCTGTTGGCCAGCTTAAATTGGGTATTAATTGATGTGACAAAGTATATTTTAATTAGATGTGTACATTGTTGTTATCTCAGAGTTCGGCAAATGGTGTTATGAGGAAATAGAAAGTAGAAGAGAGAGACTTTTTGAAGACCTTACCAAAAAGGCATCTCAGCTTTTAAAGAGATCATTTGGGCCCTTTTATTAATAGAAGAGGCTACAGAATAGCGTAGGACAAAACTAATACATAATCATCCCAGAAATTAAATGTAGAGGTTGGCATTTTATTTTGTGGCTCAAGTTTTCTTTACTAATGTTACACCCATTTATTAAAATTAAGGGAAAATATTTCTTATTGTATATGCTCTGGTTTACTTTCATATTTTAGTGCAGAGGCATTTTTCATAGGCTATCTTGTTGTTGGTTCTTGTGCACAGGTACCTTGCTGCAGACCACAGGTTTGCAAATATGGAAAGGGAAAGTCTATTTTTTATGTATAAGCGGGCTTCCGTTAAGCTGTGGAGAATGCCTGAATTGTCAGTTGTAACAGCATAGTGTATATGCTTTCAGAGTCAACTAACCCATAAGGTGATATCAGAACACAGTCTTAGAAATCAGTTGTGTTTGATGTTTATACTCCGAGTGACATAGTCATCAGACTTGTTACCTGCAGACCCAATACTTGTTCTGGTATTAGTATCTTTACTTTTATGAGGGAAATATTTTTAGAATTTCTAAGAATTCAAGACTGAATGTGTTTGTGATAATTAAATTTTAAAAAATGCTTTGCAGCAGTAATATTTGTTTCTTGCTGGTAATTTTCTCATGAGGATAAAAGCTCTATATTTACCAGCACTCCTCTACTTGGCCACTTTTTTCTGGTATGAGTTTGGGTTGTTATACGTGGGTACAAGTTTACTGATAAATCTCCCTAAGTTAACAAAAAGTAAGTTAATTAACCATTCTTCTGTGAGGATTTTTGGCTGTTGATGGATAGGGCTGAACAGTCTATTGGAATAATGATTCTCTGGACTGGATGCTCTCAAAGCCAACAGCCTTGCATTTGTGTGCTGCAGTCTGTTGGTGGAAATGCCTTTTGTGCTTTAACGTCTCACAGGACGGTTCATCAGGTGCAAATCAGAAATAGCTTCTTGGGGAAAATCACTGTTGTGACAGACTTGCCCATAGGACACCTAACATCTTCCTCTGTGTCTTGTGGAAATACTTAAGTCCAGCTTAAGGCGCTATACGGTGTCATTCATACACCTGTGTGATGTGTTCTGGGCACAGGCTGCTGCTTCTCGCTTCTTGGAAGATCTGCGAGTAGTCCAGCTTCCTTGGGGCTCCCAGGCCCAGTGCTTACTCTGTTACCTATGCACACCTTTTCCCAGAAGCAAGCAGTTTCATCTGGAATGTAGTTGCTTTGTTGGCTTCCTCTCATTAAATCTGTTGACAGGCTGACAGGCTTATACACAGCCTGTCCTTGCACACATAGTACGGTGGTATCTCTTCCTTCTTAACGTAGGGAGCACGGTGCTGAACACAGTGCATTAATAAAGTCAAACTGAAAACTCCAGTTTATTTCTGTGTTACTCAAGTTGTCACAATTAGCATTACGCCTTAAAATATACACGGGGAAAAAAACCCACAACATTTGTTTTCCTTTCCACAGTGAACTGTTCTCCTCAGCAACTCAATCTTCAGATTCACCCATGCGGTCTAATCTTTTTGGTATTGATCATGAATTGCTGAATAAGCAGATAATGGACTACAAAAGACTGAAGGTGTCAAGACATATAGAAAGCATTGCCTGGACAGAAGAGCAGGAGCAGCAGCTTTCTAAGATCCAAAAGAAAATAAAAAAGAAAAAAACAAGGAATCCTCCTGATGATGACATCACACCACGGAAATACTTACTGGACAGTTACGAAGCTGATTACTGGAATGAGAACACTGAATCAGTCTCGGACTATGAGCTGGAGGATGAATTACAGGAAGAGGTAAATGAATTGGAGGTGGATGATGGCAAAACTCTAAGTCAGCCTACTGATAAACTGAAATGAAGTGAAAAAGCCACTCACTCTAAAATGGAGCCTGCCAATAGAAAAGACAAGACTGCCATAGATACTGAAAGATCAGTTTTGTACAGCCTGTTCACCACTTCCTCTTTCAGACTAATAGGTTTGCCACACGTGGGGAGGTTTGCTAGCACAAGGTATGTAAGAAAAACAAAAATGCTATTTGTGACATTCTGTTAAGCAGCTTTCAAGCTGCTGCAGTTGTAGGACTTTCAACCAGAGAGCAGTTTTGTAATAACAAAATATACGTAGTGCAGCACTGAGTTAAAACTTCTTGCAGTTCTGTTGATTATTTCCAATAAAATTATGGTTTCTGTGTTGAAATAAAATGTCTTCCTTTTTTTGAGTGATCTGGATAAAAATAATCACAAAGTGATGATGTCCGTTATTCTAAGGTCAGGAAGGAAGAGGGAAGCAAAATAATGGTAGTGGCGTTCAAAGAGCAGCCTTCAGCGCACAAAAACCAGGACAGAGGACCCAGTCTGACAGAGGAACTCTTTCCACAGGAAGGTGAAACTCATTGAAATTACGGCCAATAAAGTTACAACTCTGAAAGAAAATAAATTTATTTTAATATTCAGAAATTTACAGTTGTGCAAGGGGAACTGCAACCAGAAAAGAATGGAGAACTGCTCATCTGTTGGGTAAAATTCAGCAAAGCATTGACCGTGACTGAAAAAATGTATTCAAAACTCAAAAGGTGGAGAAAAAGCAGCAGGGGACAATGCCCCAGTAACTGTCTGAGACTTGGAAATGGATGGGGAATCATATAAAAAGTGAGAATAAAGCTTTCTGGCTAAAGCAAGTAAACAATAATAGCATGAGTGTATAAAGTCACAAGGGCTGAAGCTTCAAAGTAAGTTCTAACTAACAAGGTAGTAAAAAGGAATTCTAACAAGGAACATCTAATTCCATTAGTTAATGGGGAGGTAAAGAAAGGCAATGCAGAGGAGGTCACACTACAGTATGTTGCTATAGTTTTTCAAAAAGGTTTAAAAGACAGCAAGTATAAACTCCAGTATATAAAAAACAGATTTTTAGGTTGAAGGGAGGACTTCAGGTCAGCCAAGAACCCTGAAATTCACTGTAGGTTATTTAATAGTCCCCTTGAAGCATATTTTGAAGATTGATTGCCTGTAAGAATATGGAAAGGATATGAGCTATCAATATCCATAGGATATTCCTATAAGCTGTTTAGAGCATCTCTTGATAAGGGTCAGGATCTTATAAATGTATGCGTCACTTTTATTAGGATACATGTTGGAGCTGTAGCTCACATTAGTACTTGCCTAACTTGAAGTAGGTGAATAGTCCCACAAATTTCAGCGTGCCTTATTCGGGCTTTCCAGGAGTTCTTCCTAAATTCCACAGGACGGACACACTTGGAAGTAGATGCTTTAGTTTGTTTTTCAGTGAGTGAAGGTATTTATCATATCAGAAACTGTTCATGTGCAGTATCACTGTCAATCAAAGCCAGCCATGAATTTGTTGCAACTTGGCAACAAAGCTCTTAAGTTTTTGAAGGGATGACAGGAACCTGTTAATTGGTGGATTCCAAATGAATCCACAGAATACTAATGTCTCCATCTTTAGTTTCTGCTGTATAAAATGTGGGACTGTCCTGACTCTACCTGAGGGTTAAAAAAAGGAAAAAAAACAACCCAAAGAGAACAAAGTTGATTACGTCTGGTTCTTGTTCAGCTTGGACATCCATAAACTAGGTTTGCAGTTCACAGATCAGATTTCTTCTAAAAACAACCAAACCCATTGTCACTGTCAGCCCTAATACCTTTACTCCCTTGTTAAGCAAGCGAGGGCAGCCGACCTCTTCTGCTTGCCACAGCTAATGTCACAGAAACCAGGCTTTGTTCAAGAAGAGAGGTGACCTAGCACTTACTCAGGGTGTCCAGGAATGGGACAGCCATTCTGGACCTGGCGATGAGGAAGATGAAGCAAAAGCAGACAGATTTAGAAGAGATGGTAATCTTAAAAATGACCAGGCGGGACAGACTGGAAAGAGGAAGCGGCCCAGGGGATGTCTGGAGAATGGCACAAGAGCGGGTGGCTGGGAGCAGCCGCGGCCCCGTCCCTGGCCTCCCCGTCATTAGTGCTCTGCTTCAGCGTCCGCTGGCTTCCCAGGGAAGCAAGGTGGGAAGTTTTCTCTGCTATGCTACCAGTGTGTCGTGCTTTAACCCCAGCTGGCAACTAAGCACCACGCAGCCGCTCGGTCACCCTCCCCGTGGGATGGGGGAGAGAGTCAGAAGGGTAAAAGTGAGAAAACTTGCAGGTTGAGATAAAGACAATTTAATAATTGAAATAAAATAATGATAACAACAGTGAAAAGGAAAACAACAACAACAATAAAGAACAAAACCCAGGAAAAACAAGTGATGCAACCACTCACTACCCACCAACTGACGCCCAGCCCATCCCCAAGCAGCAATTGCTGCTCCCAGTAGCTCCCCCAGTTTATACACTGAGCATGACGCCATACGGTATGGAATAGCCCTGTGGCCAGTCTGGGTCAGCTGTCCTGGCCGTGCCCCCTCCCAGCTTCTTGTGCACCCGGCAGAGCATGGGAAGCTGAAAAGTCCTTGACTGGTGTAAGCCCTACATAGCAACAACTAAAACATCAGTGTGTTATCAACATTCTTCTCATCCTAAATCCGAAACGCAGCACTATGCCAGCTACTACGAAGAAAATAACTCTATCATCTCAGTCAAAACCAGCATACAGTGTAATAGTAACCTCAAGACATAGCTGTAACAGACAATAAATGAATGTTACACTCTATCTGAGCAATATGGACTGTAATGACTTGCAGAATCCCTTGATTGAGTTTTTCTGTATTGTATAACCGCAGATGGGGAAAGAACTTCTGGGGCCTTCAGACCTGGTCCCCTACCTTTAGTGGCCGCCATTTGCTGCAGTTCTGTATTCAGTTATTAATCCTGGTCAGAAATACACAGCTGGGAGTAATTGTTATTTAACATTGGCAGAATCAGACGTGCAGCTGAATTTAAGCGATTGGTGCCCCTGCGAGCATGTGCTACACCACTCGTGTTTGAATCAAGGTGATTAGTCAATGACAGTTTTAAAAAACACAAGAGCTTCCTTTGCTTCCTATGACTGTCAGTCCAAACCTTCCCAAACACTCCGGGACCCTACAAGTGTATTGCTCAGATCTAAGTTTCAGACTGAAAGTAAAGAAATACCTCAGTTATCCCTCCAATCTGGTTATTTTCCTGAAGACCTGGTCCTATAAGGTGCTGATTTTGAAGGGGAAATGAAGGCACATAGTTCCTCTGCTTCCTTTTAGCCAACCAGTTTGATTTCTCTGATCCCTCTAAGACCTTGCCATGAAAGTGTTTATGCATTTTGTGTCTTTCCAAAACAGAAGTGTCTCTCCAGCAGAACAGCTGAGTAACACTGCTGTGCTGCAGACAGGCTGACTGAAAGAAGTTTACCAACCCTCTCCAAAACATGTAACTCAAGGAGGGCAACTGTGTCCTTACTCATGTGAGTCAGAAAAACCACTGACAAAAATGGCATCATGCTAGGGAAACTAGAAAATCAAGATGTGCATCTCACCAAAATCTTCTGTCCGAGCAATTACTTATTTGTCATGAAAGCCAGTCTACCCTTAAGCCTTGCTTGCATATGTAAAGCCAAGAAACATAGAATAAAAGCTCAGCAAAGAGAACTATATTCTCACTATACTATATTGCTCACTGCTTTGCCATTTTGTCCTATATCTAACTCTGCAAGAGGATAAGTGAAGACAAAAAGGTTTAGTTTTAAAGATTTCAAAGCTCTAAAGAATGTGCTAGGAATAATGAGTTGCGTGCATATTTTTCTTGCATTCAATCACTGCTGATAGCACATTGCTGCACTGCACTCATTTGTACTTTAAAATCTGTAATGGTGAAAGACCAGTCATTCTCATCGACACCTAACCAACAAAGCATCACACTTCAAACTGTAAGAACAAAAATGCAGAAATGTTTGTCCATTGTGGTAATTACTTCTGACTTTTTTTGGTAGTATGTTCTTCAGGTGGTCCATCTTACCTGGTGGGCTTTGCTCACACTTACAAATTCTAATGGATAACACTTGTAGTTAATTTCAGTTAACTACTCTCTTTCTGGATCCAAGGAATAGGTAAGGAAAGGAAGAGAGAGAAAACAAAGCCATGTGAATGGGTGTAGTGAAATGGCAGCGCTACAGCAGATGTGTTGAGATCTGTGGCGTCTTGTAAAGGAGACAAGTTCTGTGGCTGGGATCCATGGGCTGTCACGGTTTTCAGCAAGTTACCTGGGACAACCTGGCATCATTTCAAGTGATGATTATTTTATTCTGCACGTTCAAGCAGTATCTGTAGCCTTTCGTTGAACAATCTACAGTTGCAAGATTTATAAACTTTTTGTTATTGGTGGTGTGTCAGTGGCTTTCCAAGTAAAGCAATGCATTTATGTCTGTTCCTGGCTCTCACACTAATACAGAAGTCAGTATTTACTCTCTTTGACATGAAGATTTCAAGGGTGCTAGGTGCTTGCTTTGGTGCTAGACCGAGAAGTCTCTGAGTGTCTCCACTGGTGTGTGTCTTGGGAGAAGGAGGCTTCTCTATTTCTACTGTTTACTTCTTCAGTGGAAAACTTCGGTTCAGGATTTTGCAGCAGTCCACAGCTGTGGTTTACAGGACCTTATTAACTTTATTGACATTGCTAATTTGTAATTGAAAATCATCACCTGATTCTGAGGAGAGGCTTCAAACAAACAGTGAGGAAGGAGGAGCTGCTACTGCCAGACTCTAGGTAGCTTAATACATCTTTGGCTGCAATCAGACCAAAAAGAGTCCCCTAGGAACACAGGGTGGCTCCTGACAAAAGAAAACCTGGTACAATGGAGCTTGGGTTCTTCTGTTGGCCTGATGACAAGCTGCAATGGCAACCACAAAATCAGAACAGTTGAGGTGGGAAGGGAC